CATCCGGTGTGGAGCGCTGAGGTTGATGAGTGAGATGATAGAGCGCGGGTGGCTGTGAAGATCTGCAGCATAAATCATATGGTAACTGAAGCCGAGTAGAATGTGACCAATCAAACTCGGCTCGCGGAGCAGTGATGAAAGGAAAATGGCGCCATTCGTAAACCGAACTGACAAAGAATGGTCACAATCGGCTGCAAGCCACAAACGAGGGGGCATGGTGTCCTTAACAGATTGCACTCTAAGTTCAGTAATTGTTCTGTCTTATAAAAGGCCACTAGATGCAGATATTTTCTGAAGGCCCCAACAACACAGATACGTGCCAATCATGCAAACCAGATAAAACAATATAAGAACCCGACAGCATTTGCGTTGTGTCCGCGAGAAGCCCGCCCAGATCGTTACCTAACAGGTTGATCTTTTTGATCGAATCGTCCTACTGCCGTGTGAGCAGTAGTTCCAGGTGTGTGCTCAGTAATAAGGTTCGGGTGTGCGTAGCATTGAGTAGCTTGGTTACTAGCCGCCTTCATGTGGCTTTTGGAGTAGTAGCCATCGTTAGCATTGCAGTATCCTTAGCCTACATACGACTGGCGGCGGTCGCGAGGTAGTGAAGCGACGGCGTACAGCTGATGTCATGTTTACTTTTCCTTTAGCGTTTATACAGAGTTGCCGCTTGGAAGATGCTATATGTATCATGTTATATCACATGAATGATATATCTACAAACAGTTGATGCAGTGTATCCGTTGTGCGGCTTGCCAATGCAGACTGTTCGCCGCAAAATTTCAGTATGGAACTGAGTTAGGCGCTGTTATTTGAGATAGACTTAGGTGGATTGTTAACAGTGTCGCCTAGCGAAAGGCTAGAGAAAAGAGGTTGTAGATCAAGCGAACTAATCCGGTGCCAGTGATAAAACATGTTTCACCGTGAAGTTCCTTGCCAGTTTATGCGACTGCCATCGAACAATGAGATTATGCGTCTTGGATCAACAACAAATTAATCGATGTGGTCCAACTTTAAAGTCCTCGCATATACTAATTGCAGGGGCAATTTTGGATTACACGTTGTGTGATTGGATTGCGACGCGAAATCGCAATGTGGACCGCGATTCACACTGAAGTGAACCTTGGTCACTGCGATCAATAGGACCGCAGCCAAAGCAGATGGAAATTGCGTGGTACCCGCCCGAAAACACTGCACAACCACGACGCGTTTCGATGTCATTTCATCTCATCAGGTGAAGATATCAGGCCTTGAATCCGCGACCAATATCATTCAGTTTAGGGGACAGTGACTTCATTTCTAGCTACCAGATTAACCCCTTCCTTCGGTAGCTCAATAGCGGTAAAAATCTAGTAAACACAATGTGATGTGCGGATAAACGCGTTCCGATCGTACAATCAACACGACTTATCCAGTCTCCTGTATGGATCCGAAGAACTAACCCGACTAATATGACTATGTACTCACATACACACCTGGTCGTTTCGGATACGATGGAGACACCTGACACTAGCAGTGCCAGTAAGGCAACAATGTTCAAAAAGCTCAAGGCACATATTCGAACGGAGACGTACGTGATTCATTTTGTAAAGGAGAAGGAATCTCATTGTGCTCCTGTGTGTGCAACCTACAGGAGCAGGAGAAAGGCCCTTTAAGTGCATATCCAGTTTCGTATTAATAGAACAGCCTTAACATCCGTTATAAGTGAGTAAAATTGGGTAGTCACGCGCTGGTCTATGTTAATGTAGCAACCAAGATAGACGAAATACTCATTAATCTTTAGCGCCGTGTTGTCAGGAGTCAGGGGAAACAAATGACTGGCAGTATACCAAAAACGTCGCATTATGAAAGCGTAATTACCCACCGAAGTGTGCGATCATTCAAGTCACTGTCCACGGATAACTGTATGGCCGCGTTAAGAACAACAAACAGCGGGGCGATGTGGCAAGGAGAAACCAGGTGGAAGCATACATGAAGGTGTAAGTGAGGAAGGTGGTGATTGGAACCCGTGCACGAATCTAATCAACTGGAAAGAATTCAACCGTGTAGTTGATAGCATTACCTTCCCATGTTCATATGTGGTCGGGGAACTAGCATCACCGGACTCGTGCAAGAAATAACGGGGGTGAGGTGAGCAAGACTCAGCTACTTGGACAACCCTATAAGTCGTGGTCTCAAGCTTCGGAGACGCATCAAGCGTCAGTAACGAGGGACTCCAGGCTGTTTTCTGCTGTGGGGAGCATAAGTTAAACGCCACCAAAGAAACCAATTAGCGTGACAAAATGAGGAGCGGAAGGTGGCAGAAGAGTACTGGGAACGATGGTGAGATGAATTTAGCTGATGTCATTTCTGCTGGGGGCTAAGGAAGTGAAGGTTGGTAGCATTTGGGATAGGGAGTATCGCAGGTAGAACATCCGGATTCGAGAGACGGCAGTAATAACCTGCTTTCGCATATCCATGCAAAAGGTGAGGTAACCGTTTGAAATTGAACGAGGCCGAAAAGGCTGACCATATCGTAAGTGAATTGGAATACTGACAGATAACCCTAAGCTAGGCAGGCTGAACAAGAATCCCAAACCGGCGTTGTCCTAAAGAGACTTAGAACTAAGCACTGGGCATATAGCAACGGTTGGCAAAATGAGAAATATACGAAGAGTTAAGTGTCACAACCTGAACCTGTACAAAAATGGCGGGAATGGAATTGTCGACAAAGTCCTGTCGCTGTTCACAAAGGTTTGGGTTGATAAGAAGTTCTCCAAATCATGGGGCGTACCAATCCCTGTCCCGATCCACAAGAATGGCCTCTGAGATAGTTTTGCCAATTACCGCGGAATTTCGCTAATCTCTCTTGCGCCAAAGATTTCTATGTTCGTCTTACTTCTCAGGCTTTCAGCGGCTAGATAGCTTTTCCAGAGAGAAACAACCCAGTTTTCGTCTAGGCCAAGAGTGCATCGACCAAATTCTCACGCTCCGTCTACCTGTTGAACTCGGTTACGCCCACTGACGGCCAACAATGGTACCGTTCTTGAACATACAAGCGGCACTCGATTCAGCAGATAGATGCACGTTGTGAAACTGTTTACGAAGGAAATGTGTCCGATAAGTCGATAGTCATTCTGGGGAACTGTACAGTCACAAGTCGAGTAACGTCAGGGCTTACGGCAGTCTCTCCTCTTCGTCAGCTGTCAACAGCGGGGTTCGTCTGGTCATCCGCTTTCACCTTTCTGCTCGCCTTTCACTGTCGAAGGCTTTATCCAACAATCGCTAAAAGTCGTATTTCTCTCTGGCTACAGCGTCGAGAACTTGGATTACGCATATGATATCACCTTGCTGGGTGATGGCCCACTAAGCGTCCAGAGCTCTTTGAGCCGCATAGCGATGGAGGTATCCAAGTACGGCCAGTACTTTATCCCAGCTAAATGTAAAACATTGCTCCAGGACTTCCAGGCATCTGGGCCCGCGACCACCATTTGTAATGACATTCTGGAACAAGTCGCTTACTTCACCTATCTGTCGAGTTGCCTCATGGCTGGTGGCATTGCTGGATATGAGGCTTCATAACGGACAATAAAGGCTGGTCTTGCATTCATCAAACTGAGACACTTACGGCATCGACGTGATGTTAATCTAAAGCTAAAAAATAGGGTTACAATGTCGCAGTCCGTACAGTCTTGTTGCACAGTTGTGAAATCTGTCCTGTTCGTAAGGAAGACATGAAACGATCGTCGGTTTTCGACAACCGCTGTCTGCGAAGGATTGCTCGTGTGTCGCGGAAACACCATGATTTCATGGATGGCCGTACTGTTTCACTTATGCATTTGGATTTGTCAACACTTTTTATTTTTGACAACCTCACAATCTTCCCGAAAGGTTCAACCGATCAATTAGCCATGTCCGTCAAAAATAGTTTGTGAACTACTTTGGAAAAATCGGAAAATAAAACATCTGCTCCTTGCGATTCCGCTGTATATCAAGAACCGTACCATCCAGCTAGGCTGTGCCTCGCGCCGACGAGGATTATAGAGTATTTTAAAATTGTTATCCGCTACAAGTACAAATTACTTAAGCAAGAGAATGGTATTACCTGTATGTATGATCAGTGCAAATATGAACGAAGCTTCTCCTATGATGAATCATATAGCTATTATTATTACTATTATTATTATTATTAAGGCCGTGACCGAGTGCTTAGAGTAAAAAGACCCTGCCACCAAAGTGTTATTATTTGACGCCGTATATGTTGAGACAGCCACGCATTGCACATGCCAGCCTATCGTCTTCCTCATCGAGCGTTATTTGAACATCCTAGAGGTGATTGCAACAAGCATCGAGGTGGACAACCCATAATATGGAGTAGGAGCATGAAGAAGGAAACAGCTTAGTATCAGCTGGTTTGATCCGCCTTCCAGGCTGGGAACCACGGGACTCAGACTCCCAGTGGTTGGAAACGTTGGATTTTATGGCTCGAAATAGTGTTGTTAAGCCGTTCCAACTATTACTCAATGTCCAGTATAAAGAGGAAAAAAAGGGGCATGTATAAAACACAAGAAGAAATTGGTTTGTCCTTTTGGCTTCCATTTTTGCCATGGTTCCACTGGCAAAAACTGTACGATAAGCTAAAGAGTAAGCTGCACTACTTTAGTAGGCAGATCGATAAGGCAACCGGTCGCAGTGGAGACCAACTTCCGCCAATGACGCAGCGGTGGACGTGGCGACAATTCGTGGTATGTCGACGCCCTGGGACCATGACAACGCGAATAACAACAACAAAAACAGCACACCCAAGATAGCAATGAAGCACGACGATCGAGAGATGTACGCTGTTACCTGAATTGATGCTGAAAGAGTCATCCACGCGGTTACGTTTTCGTGGATATTAACGCCTTTGTGCAATTGAAGTGTTGTAACAGGACAACACGATTAACCTGTCTCACATCCTGCACAAAGTACCTATGATAGTAAACCGGCGTTGCTAGCGAAAGGGATGGAGGCGGGACAATTCAGAAAAGCTCGTCTGAGTAATTTAACGCAGAGGAATTCAGTGTCAAAGTGTACTCACCATTCTCCGGGGTTGGCAAGTAAGAGAGATCAACGGAATTGGGCGGCACATACGAAAACGGATCTGCCAGTGTGATCGGAACAGAAGGATTGAGGGAGCAGGAAGCGAGTGGATGAGCGGAATGGCCAGTGCACCGCTTGCGATCTGTCGAAGTGCAAGGTTGCTGGCTGTGATGGAGGGCCGCTGTCGATACGTGTTCACTGGGGACCCGTGCACAGGGTACGTCGCCGGGAGCGGTGAACACGTGGCGCTGCGGCATCAGTTCACTTTGTGCCGGGTGGGGTAGTTCAGCGGTAACGGAAGGAGTTTGACGAACGCCGCAAGGGAGTGAACAAGGCGTCGGTACACAAGGAACATTGTGATGTCTTGGCCGAAGGTCATGATGAGTGCTTGAAACTGTACAAGCCTGGGATTGCGTTTTTGAGCTGTTCGACCCGACGCCACCGGAGAGCATGCTTCCTGCAAAAGTAGTGCCACTGTCCGAGACGACTGGGGCGATGTGGGCTGAACGGAGTGTAAGATCAATGCTAAATGGAGCAGGACACAAGAATGACTCCTTGTCCGTTAGACACAAACAGGAAATCCCGGGTGAGCGCGATAACGGATTCTGGCGATCTCGACGCCTATATTCAAATACAAGGTGGGACAAGAAGTATAAGAAACAAGAAGTTCCGGACAAACTTGTGATACTGAAGTGATAGGAGGGAGACAAAAGTATTAAAAAACTGACTGAACGCAAAGACGAATCGAGTAATGGGAACGTGATGGGTTGATTAGTGCTGCCAACTCGTTATCGAGGAAACTCCTAACTACGAGTTACGAAGGATTTTGGAGATCAGACATAGGATATTCAATCTTGAGGATGAAAATGAACGCGTAACCTAAGATCACGAAGCAAACAAAACATACGTGCGATACCAAACGACAAACCACATTTATGTCAATGTAATCCATTGCGGAACTCCCAACCGTTAGCAATGAGATAACACTAAACGTACAAGCGTGAAATCTGCATTAGCATCATAAGGGAACGATAACCAGTGACCCTGACACGCTCTGCGACAAACGTTGAGGAGAAAAAAGAGGGAAAGGAAAAGGAGCAAAGGACCAGATAACAAGCAATACGTAACAGATAAGATAAAAGAAATAAACACCAAAAAGGTTAAAAAAACAAGAATGTCCAGGGCATGCATTCCAACATCGAGAGATCGGGAACCTGAACGCACACGCGCCGCTGAAGTCAAAACTTCAACCGGCGATGAGCTTCCGCACTAGTTAGCGCTGATGGTGCAAAGCAAGGCCTCTGAATACCAGAACTTTCCGTTAAAAAGGCACCAACAGTACGGCGGCACATCGTTGCTGCGGACTGCTGTAACCAAATGACCCGGCACTATAAAACTTGATTATTGCCCTCACCCCCGAAAATGCTTAAAGAAAGTCCAAAGTGTAGGGAGGTGCAGAAAACAGTTCAATTAACAAATGGAAGACATAACACCCATGCTGGCCACTGGTCCCTAGGAGAGTCCAGATGGTGAAAACAGCTGATCGACACCACAAAGTGCATGTGACTGAAATCAAACGAAAAGTGCGTTATCCACTGCTGACTTTGTCGTTTCGATTCCGGCGGAAACTCCTAGGTTCAAGGCTTCCAAGTGATTTGTCGCTTACAATAGGCAAATGCAGCTGAGGCATTTTGCGCATTCCCGCTCATCGATACAACACAGACGAAGGGTGAGGGGACCACAATGACGAGTCGGTGTATCGCTGCAAGTCGGTATCGGAAATGGAAACGACGTAGGCGCAAACACTAACAACCGAAAGTCAAACCATGAAAATCAGTATACACATATAAAGAATCGGAGACACAAAGACCATGCAAACAGAATGACTGGTGTGCCGTACCTGTAAAATGGATCAACGATAGTCCTCATAAGTAAGAAATCCACAAATAAGTTTCAGAAGAAACACATAGGTAGAAAAACACGCGAATGTATGGCAATCAATAGCCCTATAAATTTGGAGTGATAGGTGATTGAATAGCCTTGGATGAACGCAAGTGACGAATACAGATGTAGGGTGAATAAAGGTCGGAAATGACCACATTCAGAATAATCACAAACCGAAGGTAAGATAAATAAAAGCATAGTCAGTAGAAAAATAATGCGGTTGTCGAACGAGCGCTCATGTGTTCGGTCACAAGCGAGGGAGGTGATGAGAGGGTTGGCGTGCAAATCGCAAGCCGTGGTCTATCGACCTTGTGCCGTCCACACCCAATCGCAGCATAGCAGACGACCGATCGATCGTGCCAGCAAGCCAATGGCAACGTTATCAGCTGTTTAGTGAAAATGGACGCCACAGTTAAGCTAGGAGAGGGACTGATCGTAGTTTGTTACACCTTATACAAGCTTACGAGCAAGACATTTTAATGCATTGGTATGTGCGATGATTGAAGCACACAGCTGTAGTTAAGAAGTACGTTTTGCCCATATGTGAGTTAAGAGAAAATAAAAATGGTCAGACAAGGACAAAAAGGTTGTAGAATAAGTTTAGAAGCTAGTAACGATAGCGGATACAAAGGCCAGAGAACGTGGGTGAAAAATATATGCATAGAGCAGTTAGCCGACGAAGCAAAGTAAGAGTCTATAACGATAAACGATACAGGGATGATGTCGGATTTAGTTATGATATGCTCCAGGTGGTAAACAAACCGTCGTGCCACGTCAAGACCCAGTTTCGTTGCGACGGCCCAATACCCGATGACCGGATATAGGATGCAGGACAGATTAGCTAAACGGACACAGGCGGAGGGTACAGTAGAAGAGAACGGTAAAGCTCAATTTTACAACTCGGGTTTCCGGTCAGGAACAAATAGGGACAGTACAATGCAAGAGCGGAAGCAGTACTCATAGACAGTAGACCTGAGCTAAATGGTGTAAAAAAGCCAGGGTTATTTCATGCGATATTAAGTAAGGATAGCAATCTAGACTATCAACAGATCAGTGCATTGAAGTGATGTGTCGAGAGGCATTGAAATACAATTAAATAATAATAATAGCAGTAAAGTTTAAAAGGAATGAACAGATAAATGAATGAAAGCGATAGGTGGAAAAGTTACGAAGAATAAATGAGAGAACAAATGCAGGAGCATCACTTACTTTGTGATTTTTCAGTTCCGACAAAGTATCTCACCGCTGATGTAGTCCGTCTTGAGGACCTCATACAGGAAGATGTCTAGAAACAGCCCCACCTAGGCCATTGGTAAGCTACTTCATGCATTTTTTAACGTCATTCAATGATCATCTTAGTGTTTAACTCCGATAAGTGCAGAAGTACGTATGTATGAAATCGCAACAGTCTATCAACTAGACATAGAGCCAACAAAAAACCATGGATATTAGCGGATAAAAGGTAGTCATCGCGTCATAATCATCGTGGCATAGTAGTTGAAGATGAGCAACACCAACTACCATGACGCAGGAAGAAAGGACCACTTTGACACAAAGTAGAACAAAACATTTTTGGTCTGTTTTTCACATGCTGATTTTTCTCTTTTTGTCATTTACAATGTTTGAACTAGTAAAGATGTGAATCAGCACAATTCCGTACACAATTTTTCCGCTGATTTCGGTTGCGGCCATGTATTCAAGAGTGTTAAGTCCATTGGCACTCCTCAGCTTTGGGTCCCCATAATAGAAGATGTACGGGTCCAACACCGGCTAGACACGACGCCAGCGATTTCATGTGCTGCCGCCAAGTGGAACGCTGACCCCAACGCTTACTGACTCCGAGATAGCTCCAAAGTCGAATGGCAGAGAGAAGGTTATTCCCCTGGAGCCAGTTTGGAACAGTAACTTCCGCAAACCAGTTGTGGATAACTCAAACATAAGGGGTACAAGAAGTAAGGGACTGAGAGCCAATAGGAGAGTGAAATGAGCGAGCTCATTGCTGGAACCGGACTAGGTTAAAGGAAAGGAAAGTAGGACATATGCAATACGCAGGTACACCGTGCCGACGCTGCGCTGCCACGCGACCACCAAAAGTTGAGCGGAGACAGGGTATACCGTAAGGCCGCTCGCACTTGCGGATTCGAACAGGTGACCTACAAGACAAGCGCGTAATCCATTTGTACACCGGTCGATTAGTTAGACGAGGATGTTTTAGGACGCTGCGGTTGTTCAGAGAAGCAAAACAAGTGAACTGTGGGCGAGTGCAACTTCAGAACGGGTGCTACCTTTTGGCCGAACCCAAAGAACACGTGTAATACGGGACCAAACGTCCGAGAGATGAGTTGGGGAAGAAAGGAAGCGTGGTTGGAATGAGAGAGAGAAACGATGAAAACCTTGTAGATGTAGGACATCCCTAAGCCATTTATCCAGTTGAAGGGTGGCTTAGAGCCGAGGAGTCCATATAAACGTTCATACGCTGCAAAAATCGACTTGACAGTCCAGAAGAAAGTAGAGGATCGAGAATTATGTCAACAAAAAAGACGCGCATGTGTACATAAGTTCATACAGATCTGTGAATATGCAGGTCAGTTGCTGGTGGTTATAAAAGAATTAGGCGTGGTACCTCATGGTGTGTACAAAATAAATGGATATCATGAGACTGGGAGTGAATAATAAGTAACCAATCAAAAGCACATGAGAGACAAAAAACGAGCCGAGCTAGATAGAATTGACGATGAGGGAAATTGTGTGTAAAAGGATGTGGACCACGGAATACAGTACACCCTGGTGGACAGCAATTGAGAGAAGTACCTTTTCTTGGCCACCGAAGTTCCGGGTCCCGAACTAGTAAGGATTTCCGACAGGGCTCCAAAGTCGCTAGCTACGTTGTAATTCACGAAAGACTCCTGTGGGCTGAAAGAGGAAAATAAAATATAGATGTCAATCGGATGAAATAACAGAAAACCGTTTTTAATTGAGCGACAGTGTGGTAGGACAGCAGCAGTACGCCGTACCGACGCTTCACTGACATGTAACCAACACGAGTCGCATGAAAGACGCCCGGTCTTTTACGCAGACTCGAACCGGTGAGATCCGGGTAGCAAGGCAGAATAAAAGCGATAAAAAGGCTGGCGCAAGCAGAAGTAAGTGGATTAAATAGACATCGCCATAGGGAGGTTACGAATCAGCACACATAGGCCGACAACCGAGGCGCTGTGGTTCCAAATAACAACGCAGTGTGTCTTGCTCAATATGATGGAATGAAGTACATTAGGTAAAAGAAAGCATGAAGCAGAATGCGTTCGTACAAATTATTAGTCACAGGAATGTGAATTCGGTGACCATGTAGTGCTGTTGCGGATGAAGTCGGCATCCAGAAGCGAAGTTTGAAGACACTGGCAAGTTAATGTGTCCAAATTAGTGATTTAACCACGTACCATCTGCAGTCATTAGGGAGAAGTGTGTTGGGTAGAATCACTTGTCGGTACAAGCAACTTTACAAACTGTTAACCACAGCAAAAAAAGCGTAAAGAAATCTGATGTTGTGCATAAAGAGTGGTGAGAATATGTTCGGAAAAAACAGGCAAGGATCAACGCGACACAACAAAGAAATTGTTCACTAACATCGGCTTTCTTTAGATATTGATAGATAAGAGCATGAAGGCTGAGAGCATAAAGCTAAGGTAAAGGAACGAAGAAAACACGAATATTACTGTTTTAATTATATATTCAGGAGCAAAGAGCCCACACCTAGTCAATGCCACACGGTAGAAACAGTAGGCAAACAAGAGAAACATCAGTGGCCAGAGAGGATGATTGTGATGCTCACTGCTGCGCGTTATTATCAGCCTCATCCAGATAGTTTCGCGCAAGAGACTTGAAAAAGAAGTGCGACTGAAGTCAAACGTGCCATCGATGCCGTTCGCGAGCCACATGTGGTAAGGTCTCATACCAAGTAGACAGTGGATGTCACTAACCTTAGTCTGGAGGGTTAAGCAGGCTAACAGAGCTAAGTTTGGTAGTAAGCAACCTTATCATTCTGGTCGGTCAGCGGCTACAACCCTCGAATAGTATAGCATACACCATTGGCATACAGAACTGAGCCCGTCTTGACAACCTATTAGTGAGACATCTGCTATAGCCAAGGAGATCTACCCAATGTTACTTGTTTGACAAACGGACTGATCTGATCGGTGCCACTTAGCATTCAGCTGACTACCTCATCACTACGGACAGTCGATACGCCCCGAACCGAACAAAGACACGGAAGTGACTTAGTTACTCAGCATAAAGTAGAGGAACAACCGCAATGAATCCAGCAAATACAACTTTTAAGAGCAACAGAACACCCATACAGGTGCTACAGTGGATGTAGATTCGCGAAGGCAGTTCCGGCTTTCCCCATACGTAAGCGAATCTCAGCAATCATACAATCCTCAATGCTAATGCAATCGCCAAGAAAGATGAATTGGTCCCCTCGTTGTTTGTTGCACACTTTGGTCGTTTCGTGCAGAACGAGGTCAATAAAGCTAGGCAAGGATTGGTGCAGTCATAACAGCCAACACTGTTCGAATAGATGTGCAGCCAACACACAAAACGCAAAGGGCGGTAGGGATACAGGGGAAAACTGGGTCACTGCTTTTAATCGAGGTGAAAGACAACCATGATCAGGAGAAGGGCATGCAGTAGCGCCCGCTGTTGACACGATTCGGGTTGCATTAGCGTGACTGCAATGCAGCCTGAACATCGCCCAATCGCACTACTCCTCATTCATTGCAAACAAGCTGATTTGCGAAACGCCTACTTAAAAGGGAAAATGGTATATATATATATATATATATATATATATATATATATATAATCTTCACTTTAAATTAAGCGTTTTGCAAATCATCTTATTTGCAATGAATGAGGAATAGGGCGACTGGACTATGTTAGATATATGGTTGGCGGCATCTGGTTTCGGATTTGCCTGTCACTGTGGCCAGCCACAGGACGTCTGCGACTACAAAGGGACCATGGATGGCTTGCGCTGCACCACCCACAGCTCCATCCACACACCCCATATCCAGTGTAAACCCGAAGGAATAAGACCGGGAGGCATGTGGATGGGAGCCACGTTTCATCAATGGAGCCGGCCCACACTCCTTCACAGGCAAACACAAGCACGCTGTATTTGGGAATTAAGCGCACACAAGGCGGTGGCTGGACCGTAGTCCGCTCCACGCTGAGTGCATGGAACCACAAAGACCGTGGACGCGTCCCATCAAGCAACGACCAACTGTCTCCTGGAGCCAGTATGGACGAGGTAGTGGGTAATAGACATGTAGGCACCTTCTCAACATGCACATCCAGCGCAACCACACTAGGGATAGCAACCAAAAGCCAATCACTCGAAACGACGATATGAAACAAAATAAATCGAATAATGCATACAGATACGGTGACGCAACTCATCAATAAATGATTATGTGAAATAAAATGGTTGCCAATAAGTCCGCGATAAGTTCAAGACGTCAGAAAATATATTCTAAGAAAATGTTACAAACGCGAAAATGTTATCGAAGTTAACTACAATTAGCTTAAGCGACGTGTGCAAGTTTATAGAAGATAGTTCAGGTAGGCATAAAGATGGGATAAAAAATCATTAGGACAACATAGCAAATCCACCACCTGGAATAAAGAGACTCAGCACGCAAACACGCGGTTAGTAAATCAAATGCAGCGTACCTACTAACGCTGCGCCCGTTCTGCTTACGTTCACAGCAGGACTCGTCTCGATTCTGTGGTAGCCCCGAGTGGCCTCACTCATAGTTCACTAGGCCTGCCTGACTCAGGCACTCGCGACCGCATGTGCTACAGCACCATGCGCTCGATGTCAGTGGAGTACAACCCATCGGCGGCTATCGCTTTCGCAATTGCCGCTTCTTCTCTGCATGCACGACGGCTTTCTCCTGAACCTCGGCAACGGCCTTAGTGGTCAGATCGCGCCAACATATACATGGTGGAATTCACTTGTCTCAGCGGCTAACATTGGACTGTCACAGGACGCTTGTGACTTCAGAGGGACTATGGATGGCTTAAGTTGCACCACCCGCCCTATAGCCTGTGTAAATCCGAAGGAATAAGATCGGGAAACATGTGCGTGCGAGCCATGTTCCACCAATGGAGCCGGCTCACACCCCTTCAACATGCATATCAGCTGCATTCCTGTCTATCTATGTAGGGAATCATGGGTACCAAACGTAATAATGATAATAATAATAATAATAACAATGTGTCAGCTGTACGCCGTAACGGCGCTTTGCTGCCGCGCGACCACCACCAGTCGCGCGCGGGCTGAGTATACCGCGAGGACGCCCACCCCTACGTACCAAACGTACACAAGGCGGTGGCTGGGCCGTCGTCTGCTCCACACTGGATGGAACCACTCTTTGAGGAGCCCAGAAAGACCACGAGGACCGTGCATCCCGTCCCCCCAGCAACGGTTCGCAGTATCCTGGAGCCAGTAGTCAAGGTGGAGGGTGTTAAGCAGGTAAGCACCTTGTCAAGATCCACATGAAGCGCAGCCACACCGGGGACATCAAACAGCCAACAAGGCATTTGAGGGAAAGCAAACACGCAAAATTGACAAAGAATATGCAGCAGAATAACAGACTTGAACAAACCAAATAAAGTGGAATGACATCTATCCAAACTAAAAAGATCCAGTTTAAGGGTAAGTTGGTTTGACCCAACTGCGGAGAAGAAGCATCATGAATGCAACATCAATCTCAGCATTAGGCATCATATGAATATGAAAGAATATGAAAGAAGATAAATATGCAACCTGGACAGTAAGCGTTCGACAGAATGACAGAACTGAGGAAATCAAAGAAGGTATGAATACTGATTGATTGTTAGGGTGACGTTAGACAAGTGTAAGTGTAAATCAAGGGATAACAACCGACTAACAAAGAAAATGAATGAGAAAGCGCGCGAAATAAAGTGAATATGCCGTCAAAGCGCATAGAACGTATTGTATTAACCACTTGCCCAATAAATATTTGGCAGAGTGCCACAACACATGAGTAACCATAACAAAAAAGAGTGGGTAAGAGGAACGGAAGCAAAGTTCCATGTGTTGTGTGGGCATTGAGCTTCCTGGTTGCCCAGGCCGAGGAACAGGGTTGACATAAGGGACCCCACCCCGGGCCTTCGGTCTTAAAGACCTGACCCGCAAGGCAGCAGAGTGATTCACGAAGACCGTGGACAGCCAACCGGCTCATTCGTTTTCTTTGTGTTCGGGAGCAGTCCACAGAGAAGCCAGTGGCCAGCAAAGTTGTTAATCCGCTCTCCGTTAGGTACTCACCCCCAGTTACAGGAGTGAGTGGTCAGTGACCCTATAGCCGGTCACATTGGCTTTGACACAGTGCCGTACGAGCACTTGTGGTATTTAATGGAGAACCAGGTAACCAGCCCAGAACTCCCCGCGCACTGAGAAGCTGCCGCTGGTTGTCCGCGACTGCTTATTTGTCTCGCCTGCAAAGCATACGAGGCTTATTCAGATTTACCTCCACAAAGAAGGCATTCCCCGATCCGCAAACCTGGGGACGCGCCCGATAGCGAACAGCTCCGCCACGGGTATACACCTTGTGTTAGCAACATACCTCTAAAAGAGCTGGTCATATCGCGCAGAGCAGGCATCTACGACATAACTTCCTTGCGGTTTCCAACACCCCACGTCCTAATCAGCCAGTATCCCCCAGATGACTAATCAACAAACACAATTTAGACAGACTGTTCGACTACAAGACAACAGACTCATCAATAGTGCAGACTGCGAGCCATGTTCTGTAATGTCTCGAGCCAAGTATTAGCCGGGGAACAAGGACTCCCGCCTGGGAGACGAGACGGACCAATTGCACCGAGGT